CCCCCCCCCCCAACCATCTGAAGTGTTTGAATCTGCCGCCTATGAGTGGAGCTCATAGAGTACAGGAGCTGACTCGTTTCCTGCCAACACAAAATACGCCTTCAAAAAGAGCGTGGTACGGACAATATGACTGAAATGAAAATTGCCGCTCACAATATTAGAGGCGAAGAATCTAGGAGCGTAAAAACGCCTTAAAAATAAAATATGTAACTGATTGGTACCCACAATAGTCTTAATGCGACAATAGTTGTCCTTGGAAATATTTTAATTTTGTTATTTTGAGCAGAGTCTCCTCTTGCGAAAAAATTGTGCAATCAACGGAGCAAAAGAACGCAAGGAAATGTATGTACTCTGTACTCTATGGTTCCAACGTATTGACATAGTGGTACATGTACATACTCTGGCATTGACGTCTATGTCAATGTCTGTATCGATGTATCGATACGTCGATACCTCAAATCCACCTCGATTCGACTGTGCGCGCGATTATTTTGAGGTTAAGTGTATGTGGTATATGTATACATTGTGATTATCAATGTTCGTTCCCAGGAACTAAATTCAATCTGCAAGTGACAAAACTTTTTGTTTAATTGAATTCAACAGGATTTGCAACTTTAAAGTTTTAAAAGTGCGTACTTCAGAAAGATTTCGGTTGGCATATGCCGTGTATCCTTGGGAAAATACATGCTTCATGGAACTCCTCTAACTGCTCTAGCACTTCAAAATACCTGACAAGTGTAATGCTATGATTACTGAACGATTGACTCACATTTTCTTTGAAGAAACTACTTAGTGATGCAGTGTTACAAGTGTTACCATTTATTGTCTCCCACAAGTATGAAAAATGTTCTGCGACTCCCTCTCGCTCAGTCACTATCATGTATCAAGTATTCTCCTGCTGGCCCCATTGTACCCAGCGTAATAGTGTTAAATAGTAGAAGTTATATCTATGAACCAGACAAAAAAGGTAAAGGTTATCCTTACCAAAAAGATGTCTGGCCCGAATTTTTTAAATTAGAAAATTATCGGGGTATCTGGCCATTCTTTGTTAAAGAGTCAAAGAATGCCTGGGAAGAATTCAAAGACCATTGGCGAAACGATCCTATCATGGATTACAGACATAACGAGGTAGATATTTGGTGGAGGTTTCGAACTGAAAAAGACCTTGAAAAATGGGTAGTGACTACAGATAGCGATCTGGCTGTTGGTAGAAGTGAGGCTAGTTTAACCATTAGCCCACAAGGGTATGCTCTGTTTTCTGGTAAAATATCAACTGACTTTCCTCAAGATGGGATAATCAAGCGATCCGGCTTTGCAAATTTCGGCTCACTCCCGGCAATGAAATCATTTGGCCGTGAAACAGTTTATGATTGGACACTTTACACACATCTAGTAATGCGTGTAAGAGGCGATGGCCGGTCTTACATGATAAATATGCACTTAAAGAATACTGCGGATGCTTGGTGGTTTGATATTTATCACTTTATTCTATTCACTCGTGGTGGGCCTTATTGGCAAACTGCCAAAATACCTCTTTCAAAATTTTTTCTTGGAAGCAAGGGTCGCATTCAGGACTCCCAGTTTCCACCCCCTCTCGAGAGAATCATGAAACTTAGTTTCACTATCGGCGAAGGAACTCAGAGTGGACCATTCAGTTTAGAAATACAATACATAGGATTAACTCACGATGACACTCATCGCGAAGAAACAGCCTACGAGATGTACCAGGTGCCAGTATTTCTAGTTGCGCATTAAATTGCAATATGTTTTGTAAATACAGTCAAAAATAAAAATCTTGTTAAACCTTAAAGACACCTGATTGATGAACATAAATTGTGAATACCAACTGCTTTGTTATTAAAAATCTTGTTACAATGTCTCACCGGTCTACTGATGATTCTCTTTCAACCTCTAATTATCAAAAGAGCAAAGAAGTGCATCCACAGCCAATACCAACTACAAACTGTATAATGGTTTAAGAAATCATCGTCAAGACACATAAAAATCTGGTGGACCAATAAACAAGAAAAGAAATTAAGCGCTATGGTCCATGTTTCCTCATCACAAAATTTTATAAGAAAATCGGTGGAAAAATCAAAATATTTTCAAATTCAACTCAAAAATGAAAACAAGGAGTTTATCAATTCAAACTCCCAGCTAATCATAGAACCAAACTCCACGAAAGAAGAGCCCAAAAGTCTGACACAAATCATATCCATCCGATGCTGATACGTAAAATATAACAGCATTTTACTGCAACTGCTGTTAAAAGACTTGCTAGCACAAAGATTCACACAAACTTAGATACAGTAAAAATTAGATCACAGTCTGAGCCCAGGGCCAGTAGCTCCTTGCTGGGATCAAACTTTGAAATTCCCTTTTCGAACGCAAACGCCCTTTTTTTCCTCTCTATCTAATTTAATTCAATTGCCCAGACTATAACTAAACTATAATTACCTGCTAATTTTTCGATTGTTTGCCTGTCTTGAACTTGTATAACAAGTTTTAGCATATTCTGCCTCAACTTCAGTAAAAGAAACAAATCGAGAAATGCATTAGTTCTCACCTTATTTTGTAGTCTATTACAGGGCGTAGTCAAACAACAGATGATTGACTCTTATTGCCAAGCATTTGAATTGTCCGAAGTATTTAAAATCGACAACAAAAGAGGCAAAATTTTAACTATTACTTACCACTGCTTTTGATGAAACTTGGTGAGACGGTTGTTCCTATTGAGAAGATTGATTATCCTAGCTTCGGCACAATTGAGGCACTGGATGCGAAAAGGGCACTTCTCGGTTACGGTGTTTCAGAATCGCTGTTGCTAATTAATCCCTCGGAGAAGACTTTAATGGGTGATTTTTCCAGAATTCTTTCCATTGAAAATCGTAGAATCATAAGGAATATTCAGTAAATTTTTTAGTGAAATGGATGCATTCACTTTCCTTACAATGAATGAAATATTAGAGGACACTCTGAAACACTGCAACCGAGAAGTGCCTTTTTCGCATCCAGTGCCTCAATTTGAGTTTGGGTGGTATACAGTTCAACAGAGCACCGCTGATCTGAGGGCCCCCCCCCCCCTAGAGAGAAATGATAACAGCACTTTCAAAGATCAAGACACAAAAGTGTATGAAAATTGCCTATTGACATCTGTTTGAACTACAGAAAAGGGTCATTTTTTAAAAGCCTGTTTCAGGTTTCACCGTTTAGTTTGATGTGAATCACATTGTTATTGGTGCGTTTTTCATCAAAATAGAATAGAGTAGATATTTCATTTCAACAAAGAAAAACATAATATCAATATAGAACTTCAACATATCGAAGATGTAAGTTCGCAATCACATAACTCCATTTGCGACGTCACAGACTTCCTGTCATACTTTATTTTTTAAACGAAAAATTTCGCGACGGCAATTCTTTAAAACTGCCACGAGTTTTCTTCTCTGTGCGAAGAAAATTCTGCATAAACTTCAAGAAATGATGTCAATTTGTTCTCCTTTAAAAGAATAATTTAGAGGTGGAGATTTTCAGACACTGCAAATGAATATGTGATTGCGGACTTACGCCGTTGATATGTGAAAAAACTGTCGAGTGGATTGCTTCATGTGTATTAGGTCCTTCGGCACCAGCATGTTGCTTCTTTTTTGTTGGGAAGAAAAATATTATAAGCAAGTCGTTCAACCCGCACGAAGCCTTTCCACAAGAAGGGCATTTTGTGAGAAAACTAACTAAATAATATCAAAACAAACAACTTTCTGCACTCCTGCACCATATGATAGATGGGGAATGGCTATCTGCAATTTGCAATATGTAACAATTGTAATTTTTTTTCTTAAACGCATTCCAGTGATGTATGAGTGTAAATCTACCTTGAATGTACGATGAGAAGGGAACACAATTGAAATATGTCCAGTCAGGAAAGCACCTTTCAAATTTTAAACATCAAAACTGATGAAAAATTATTTCTCATCAACTAAAAGGCACTTAAAATGTTGTTGTTAGAGGCGCTTGGAAAAAAGTTAGCGAAGAAGTTAAAGATGACGGTGAGTGTCACTTGAAGGGATATTCTTAATTTGATAATGAATTTTTCAAATTTGAACTTACACAGCATTTCTTGATTCGCATGAGAGTTCTGCTGGACACAGTTGAGATATTTATCTTTGCTGTTGTCTAAAGAGGAAAGATGGAACTCCTTGACAGGTTTTTTTTTTTTTTTTTTTTTTTTTTTTTTTTTTTTTTTTTTTTTTTTTTTTTTTT